CAGGCCAGTTCTGAACTGCAAAGCAGTTATATCTCCCGCTTTGTGTGCTTTTCAGGGTTACATCTCACTGCGTGCCGGTGGGTGTGACATAAGATTACCACTACACAAATCAACAATCTGATTGGTCACCGCTCAGTTCATTTGCATAAAGTTTGTCTAGAACAAGAGCAAAGAGACGATGTGCGTCAGTGATTTGATGTGTCAGTTAGGCTATATTTCTATACTGTTATCTCTGGCCTCACTGTAGCACCAAATTAATAAATAAATAAGGCAAATCATTTTGTGTGATGTCATCGGTGACATCACATATATATACTGCTTAAAATTTCAGCAGGCTGTCCTCTGCTTAAAACACGTTCCCTCAACTTAAAACACCTTCAAGCGTCCCTGTTTCATCATGCTCCTCAAACCACTCCCAAACAATGTGTGCAGAGTGCCAGGGCAGTGTGGACACTATCCTGCTGAAAGAGGCCGCTGGCATCGGGCAATATCATCACCACGAAAGGGTGTACATGGTCCGCATGGATGTTTAGGTAGGTCACATGTGTCAAATTGATGTCCACATGAATGCTGGACCCACGATTTCTCAGCAGAACATTGCCCAGAGCATAACACTTATTCCACCGGCTTGTCTTCTTCCCACAGTACATCACTTCCTCAAGTAAATGAAGCATGTATTCCCGGCTATCCACGTGTTGGAAAAGGAAACGGGACTCATCGGACCAGGTGTCCTTCTTACATTTCTCCAAGGTCCAGTTCTGATGCTCGTGAGCTGGTTGTTGAAAAGTTTGGGTGCCACCGGTCGGATGGTAATTTATTGTTAATTTTCTGAGTAACAATAAGTGAACACATCCTCTACAGAGAACACACTCCTGCACATTTGAATGCAGAATTACTTATTACTTATTTGCTGCATTTATCAAAGATCTGGGGGGTTATGACAATATTTATCATTCTCGTGATAAATTACATCTCAACATGTCTCAATATGTGACAATGCTTTTCTAAGCATTGTGGTATCGGAATACTTCCCTGCTGCATGTTTGATTAGCGGTATAGACAACATAATTAGTCCTGTTTAGGTGGATTTAGTGTAGCAGGGTGTGTAAAATGTTGAATACAAATCACTGGATTAATAATTTTTCATTGTATTTTTGTGGCACTACTTTGTTCCAACTTAGTATCAGGAGAACTTCTTGAGGCACTATGGTGTTACATTTTGACATACTGTCCACTTCTAATTTAACATATTGGGGGAAAAAAATAAAATGCGGCTGTGGCAGTGGGGGTGTGGTCAAGCGCTGTCTACTGGGGAGGGGCTGGGCCAGAGTGAGGACCTGAGCTGTGTCCCAATTCAGGGGCTACACCCTTCGAAGGACGCGGTCTACGAAGGCATGTCTTTTGAAGGCAGCGTAGACCCACGAAGGCTGAACTGAAATGAGACGGCCTACTCTATGGCGGATTTCCTGTTTGTGTCACAGCACTGCTGTTCCCGCCCTCACCGCTTGTCTTCTAATTGAAATATAGTCTTTCTGCTGGTTAAGGTAGGCTCTGAGTTGAGACTTTCTCTAGTCGCTATCTTCAAACGCAGACTGAAGACACACCTGTTTATTCAGCACTTAAATGAGCCCTAAATTAAGTATTGATTGTAATGTATTGTACAGCACTTATGTATTGTATTGCACTGTTCTGTGTTTAAACCCAATACATACATTTAAAGTGTCTCCTCAGCCACCATTCACTTCTCTGCTGACGCTGCTATGTTCTCGAATCTCCACCGGCACGCAGTGAACCTCAGGATATGCTGGCTGGTGAAGGATCCATCCGTTGGATCCTTCTTCGCCATGGAAAAGAAGGACATATTTCTCGGCCACATATGAAGGAGCCTTCGAAATAGGACAGTCTAATTACTCCGCTGTGGCGCAATCAGCCTTCAAATGCAGCCTCCGAAGGACGCAGCCCCTGAATTGGGACGCAGCTATGGACTGATTGGCAAACACTTACACCTGTGGGTATCTGTCTCTTTTCCTACTAATACGAGCTTCTTTCCCCAGTAGAGAGAGAGAGAGAGAGAGAGACACCTGGGCGACAGGAACACTTGGGCAGAGAGACAAACTGAACCTGAAGCTCCAGAGAAGGAAACAACTCTAACGCCCGCAGTAGTGAAGAGCTATCCGCTCAAAGCCTAGCGTCCTTTTGTTTTGTTAATGTCTGGAAAGAAAGAATAAAAGATCTCTGCCCACAGACACCGCCTCCTCTGTATTCCTTCTGCCTACACCCTCCAGGGTATCACAGTGGCCACAAAAGTGTTTTCCAACATGCTGAATCAAGCAAACAAATAGAAACTCTACATTAAAACTGCAGAAAAATGCCATATTTGCGTGTGCTCTCTGTAGAGGACGTCAACAAAATCAACAAAATGTAATTTGATCAGGGGGTTCAAACTGTTGCATACGACTGTAGTTAATTCTCAAGAGGCTGTCACTGTCCAGCATCATAACAGCCGAAGATTATCTCATAAACAGCACAACAGCTTTTAATAACCGAATTCAGGTGACGTGCTGGGTCGTATGTGTCTAAATCAAGCCTTGAAAGTGGATCAGCCAATCAGATTTCAGAAACAGAGTCAGTTTTATGATACAGCAGTAAAGCAGACGTCACATGACAGACCAGCCTTACAAAAATACTATAAAGTTAATGTTCATTTGTGACTGAGTTACTCATTACACTGACCAATCCTGAGCTGAAGTCAGGGAGGCATCTCACTCACTGCTCATTCACACTGTCTGCAAATGACCTTTCTGCTGTGGCTGTGATGCAGAAGTCTGTTTGTATCCTCCTCTGCTGACGGCAGCGCCATGTAAATAATCAGGACAAATTCAGCTCAGCCTGTAATTCAGAATCAGCAGCTCACCTGTCTCTACTGTACACACCTTCACACAGAGAACCTGCTCAGACAGGGGAGAGAGAGAGAGAGAGGGAGAGAGAGAGAGAGAGAGAGAGAGAGAGAGAGAGAGAGAGAGAGAGAGAAAGAGAGGGTGTGAGAGAGTAAGTAGAGAGAGAGAGAAAAAAAAGAGGGAAAGAAAAAAAGAGTGTGGAAAGAAAGGGTGTGAGAGAGGAAGATAGTAGAGAGAGAGAGAGAAGGGAGGAAAAAGAAGAGTGTGGAAAGAGATGGAGTGAGAGAGGAATAAAGCAGAGAGAGAGAGAGAGATAAGGAAACGAAAGAAAAAGTAGATAGGTTGGAAAGAGAGGGAGTGACAGAGGAAGAAAGTAGACAAAGAGAAAGAGGGAAAGAAAGGAAAAAGGAGATAGTGTGGAAAGAAAAAGAGTGAGAGAGGCAGAAAGTAGAGAGAGAGAGAGAGAGAGTAGTGACAGAAAAAGAAAGTAGATAGAAAGAAAACAATGAGAAAGAGTGAAAGAGTAAGGAAAGAGAGGGGCTGGAGGGAAAGAGACTAAGATAGTAGTGAAAGGAAGAAAAAGTACCAGTGAGAGAGAGAGAGAGAGAGAGAGAGAAAGAAAGTAGTGAGAAAAGAAAGGACAGAGAAAAAAATGAGAAAGAGTTAAAGAGAGAGGAAAGAGAAAAAGTATTGAAAAAGAGTGAAAAGAGAGGGGAATGGAGGAAAGAGAGTGAAAGCAGTGAGAGAAAGGAGAGAGAGAGAGAGTAGTGAGAGAAAAAGAAAGGAGAGCGAGAGAGAGAGGAACAGAGAGAAAGAAAGAAAAAGAAGAGTGTGGAAAGAGGGAGTGTGAGAGAGAGAGAGACAAAGAAAGTAGTGAGAAAAGGAAGGACAGAGAAAAAAATGAGAAAGAGTTAAAGAGAGAGGAAAGAGAGAAAGTATTGAAAAAGAGTGAAAAGAGAGGGGAACGGAGGAAAGAGAGTGAAAGCAGCGAGAGAAAGAGAAAGGAGAGAGAGAGAGAGTAGCGAGAGAAAAAGAAAGTAGAGAGAGAGAGCGAGAGTAGTGAGAGAGGAAGAAAGGGGAGAGAGAGAGAGAGAGCGAGAGTAGTGAGAGAGGAAGAAAGGGGAGAGAGAGAGAGAGAGAGAGAGAGTAGTGAGAGAAAAAAAAAGTACAGAGGCAGAACGAGGGGGTGAGCGAGGGGGTGAGCGAGGGGGTGGGCGTGGGGGTGGCAGTGAAACAAGGTGCAAATCCTAAAGAATCTGAGAGAAATGATCCAGAAAGCTTAGGCTGCTCCTCAGAGAGTGAGAGCGGAGCAGAAGCTGTGATATTTCTTAATCTGCCGGATTCCCACAGAGCCGCTAAATTAAATTTGTTGTGTTGGTTTAGAGCTCAGGGTTCACGCTGACTTTGGGTGGGCAAACAAGAGATCATTGAGCTGAACCGCACGGCTGCTTCTTAATGCACTTTCAATAGGCCAACTAACCATTACACACGAAAAAAGAGCCTTTCTAACGGTTTAAACCCTTTTAGCCTGTAAGAACGTACGGTGAAAAATGAGTATGACCATGAAATATGAAGTGTAATGAGTATGAAATATGAACTGTACCCAGTGAACTGAGGGAAGGTGGTAAGATGACGATGCAAAACAAGTAGAATGTATCTTTTAGTGAAAGAGTGTGAGCTGCGTGCCAAAACTTTCCACTGAACCCTGCCACCAATTCTTCTTCTCTATTCCTCCCTGATCTTTCCAGAGATGATAACTAGAGCAAAATAATAAACGCTTCTTCCTTTTCACACTAATTTTTCCACTCTGACAGGAGCGCTAAAGCCATATGCTTCTTATATATTCAGATCTGTTTTACATTTTTAAAAATAAAGCTGCCAAAAAAGGTTATTTGGGTTCATTTAATTGAAGAATCACTTTTGGTTCCTTTCAGCCGAGTTTTATAGTCACTTTTACAGACTGATATATTTAAATGAGCTCTGCTCTGATTGGCTTCCACATATTGAGCTTCATTCAAAACGCAGTTCTGGCAGAAACACTGCTTATAACTTCAGTGTGAGAGCTAAACTCCTGCATCAAAACAATAATTATAAACAAAGTACCTTTGAAGTTCGGATGAGCTCCTCCTGCTGGATGTCTTCACCCTGGAATAAAGCAGAGTGCTGGATCAGTGCTACGGGTGCGCCTCCTTGTGGTTGGAACTGATCACAGCATTCAAATTCAAATGATTCTTCTGCCAAACCTGCACTGTATATGACTTTCTAGATATATTCACTGCAATTCAGTAAAGCAAGGTTCAAAATTAGACATAACTTTCACAAAAGATAATACAAAGAGAAATGAATGATACTGAGAATTGTTCACAACCTCAGTTCTTATGCTACTACACAAAAGCCAGAATGACAGAATAAGTGATTCTTATTCTTATTGATTCTTATTTGACAGAATAAGTGATTATTTAAAATATTTAGATAAAATAAAATCAGTGTTCAGTACGTGACTGAAGTGCCCTTGAGCAAGGCACCTAACCCCTAAATGCTCCCCAGGCGCCGTGAATAGGGCTGCCCACTGCTCCGGGCAAGTGTGCTCACTGCCCCCTTGTGAGTGTGTGTTCACTAGTGTGTATGTGGTGTTTCACTGTACGGATGGGTTAAATACGGAGGTCTAATTCCGTTGTGTTCAGACACAGTTGGCTAAAAGGTTCATTTCATTTCATAAGCCACTGCACATCTTTGAAATTTAGTCTGTCAAGTATGTCAAAATTTAGTCTCAGAATCTTAAGGTTTTGAGAAAATAAGCAATTGGTCATATTTTTGAGAACATAACTATTATATTGAGATAATAAGTCAAATTCATGAGTGAATAAATCTTTATATTGAGATAATAAGTCATATTTATGAGCAACTAAGTCTTTATATTGAGATACTAAATCAATATTTTGACAGAAAAAGTGATTATTTCAAAGATTTTGATAAAATAAAATAATTATTTCAAGATTTTAAGTCATTTTTGAGAAATAAAAATCATTATTCTAAAATACTAAGTTAACTGTTTAGAAAATTAGTCATTATTTTGACACACTAAGTAAATATTACGACAAAAATAGCCATTATTTTGATATACTAAGTCAATTTTATGAGAAAATAAGTAATTATTTTGAGATGCCAAGTCAATTTTTTGACATACTTCCACCAGAAACAAACACACTAGGAATGGCTTTCCGTAGATTCTGATACTGATGCTGAAATGAAAAGAAAAACAATCACATTAGCGCCCCCTGCTGGTCACTTCTTGCAGTACCTTGCGTTTGAGCCGAGCTTTGACATTTTCTGCGTCCTTCAGTTTGGATTTGTAGAGCATCCATCTGTACCGCAGCTCCTCCATACTCACATCTTCTCCTCCAGCATCAGAATGCCACGAGTCCATCAGCTGCTGGAACAGAGCTTGACCCCTGGTCACCCCAGCACGCAAACCCTGCAGCAAAAAACAGCCAGAGAAAAATATTTTATTACTTTCTTCCTATTCTTTTAACGAGTGAAAGGAGAAGGTGCGCAATACTTGTTTTTGAATTTCAAAGATATTTGGAAATACACGTTTACATGACTTTATGAATATTATTTGAGTATATTAAACAGCAGTAGATCTTCCATGGGGCTTCCAAGCAAACAAATACTTCTAAATATTTCTCTTTCAAGGAATAGACAGTCTATGCCAAACGCATTTCTGTTTTTCCCCAAATCGCACTCAAACTGCGACCAAAAAGAGTCGATTCCAGAGCCAGAAGCTATTTTGGTCCTCTGGCAGGACGCCTGGTGTTTGTGAGGTTTGTGTTTTTCAGAGCTGAAGGTAACAGACTAGTCATGACAGCCAGAGCGGTACAGCACACCACGGTTAGAAGAGTCTTATAACACTCATATGGGTATATGTTTAAGTGTTCTCCCGCTGAGCTCCTTCGCTCACTAACACAAGACAGCACCCTAGAGCTCGACATAAAATCAAGCGAATAGGACATCAAAACGCAGAAGGATGTTCAGCTTTTCATCAAGACGCTGAATTTTTCTGAGTAAACATGAAAGTTTAATCAAAAGTGGAAAAAGGAGAAAGTGAGGACACAACAAACAAGCCTGACCTTGAGTGTATTCTGTCTTATCTTCAATTCTTTGGCGCTCGAAACTCTTTGGTTGTTCACAACTGCTGAGAGTTTGTCGTTTTCCTTACGAAGCCAAGCCTCGAACTCTCTCCGAAGAGCCTCCCAATCACGATCGTGCTCTCTCACGGCACTCTGCAACATAAATAAACTCATTTTAGCACTATTCTTATGTTTGTGCAGTACATTTTGTACGGTATATACAGCAGGGTTGTAAAAATGCATCAATCTGAAGGTGGCGATCCAATGTTACAATCGATTATAAACAGGTTTAATAAAGTATGTGGTCATTATTTTAGAAAAAGGCTATTTTCAAATATGCAATACTGTGCAAAAATCAGCATCCACCCTTTGTTTATTTAAATATCATTTGGGCTGTTTCTTTTAGTCCGTTCATCATGACATTTACATGCAATGTAAAGGGCAACAGGTATTTTCAAATTACGTAGAAAACTGAAAAAAGACAAAAATGGAGATGAGGTTTTGTCCTGACAGCAGCGATAAGTAAGAGGAATGCCAAAGGAAAATAATAAAAAAACACTGGAGTTCAAAAAATGATTGAAAGCTGCAGGAAAATGGGCTCCTAACAACCACCTGGAAGACCTGGTATGTGTAAGCATACCTGGCCAATAAATCTTGACTATGATTCTGATGTGAGGCAAATAAGTGCCCTCACGCGGTACCTGAATGCTGCTGCTACATCCAAAATGCATAATTATGCATGACTTATTGTGCTAAACAGCCAGTCGAACTTTACTTTCACTGCAGCACTTTATGTGATTTATGGTATTTAAATAGATTATTTTTTTTCATTTTATGAATTTAAAATGACAGTCATTAAAGTGCAAATTATATTATTTACATTGCAACTTTAGCTAAAAGACAGCATGGGAAATGTTCTAGTGTGCTTCATATGTACATTTATTCCATACAGTGTGAGCTTTGAGTTAATAAAAGGCTAATAAAAATCAACCATTGGCCAATTTGGCTGTAAAACAGTTTTAACTGGATTCAGCCTTAAAAATTTATGCTCAGTTCACCCCTAAAATGTTTTAAAATAGTTCTGAATCATAATAAACTAACTTAATTGAATCAATCAAGTCTCCATGACGCACTGAACTGTTTCCTAAACCAGAACTTAGAAAAAAAAATACATCCAAATAAAGTTATTCTGACCTCCATTAATCCGTGAGCTGCACCTGGTTTGTACGGAGATGGCTGCCTTTTCCTAAATTCGGCGTCTGAGGTTCTGATGGATCTTGCGAGTCCAGCTCCAGCTTGGTCTTCACTTTCATACAGACCCTTACTTAAGCCATATTTTCCCTCCAAATCAAGATCCTCTACACCAGATGCATGCTCTTCAACCCATTCTCTTGTCCTCCCTCCACTCCTGGATCCTCCTCTCCTCACCAAACCTGCTCCACACTGATCTCCTCCATCCTTCTGCACCTCGTAGCCTCTTCCTATTACCATCGAGTCCACATCATCTACAGTCTTCCCTCTCAGCTCTGGGGGAATTTTGACTTTACCTCCAGGACTGAACTGCCCATCAGCTATCTGACCTTCACCATCATGACCTGTAACAAATCTCCCAGCAGCTCCGAATCCTGACCCTCTGCCCGACCCTGAGCCCTCATAAGGCCAGTCAGGCTCCTGGGCTGGATGACCATCTGCTCTGGCTCTGCCTGTAGATCCGCTGCCTCTGAGTGAACCGGCCTCCTCGAATGGCGCACGTCTCTGGTCAAGCTCCAGGCAATCATCTGCCTCGTGTGCGTAAAAGGAAGAATCTGTTTCCCCTGATGCTCGGTGACCATTAAGAAGCCTGAAAAGAAAGCAGAAAGATAATAAAAGCTTGGGGATAAAGTGATACCTTGACTAAAAATCGCATACTGAATTATACAATAGCTGCGTTCCAAAGTCTAGGCTGCATTTCTCGGCCGCTACGTCATAGAAGGCCGTTCCAAAGTTAAGGACCCTTTGTATGCAGCCTGGAAATGCAGCCTAGGTTCTGAGTGATTTCAAAGATGCATCAGATGTTTCCTTTCAGGCCTTTACCCTTTCCCTTTGCAGTTACCCACAGTTCTCTGCGCACAAAAAAACAGCACCACACAAATGGAAAACGAAGCCATCGGAGCAGAGCTTGTTTTAAAATGTAAGTTGCTCACATCCTTGAATTCGTCTTCATGACCTTACAAAGTGTAAAATGACTGATTAATTAAAGCATTCATATATATTGTATATTATTTAGAAGTATTTGTATATCTGTAGTTTATCGCACTACATTAGAACTTCTCCTCCATTTCCATGAAGAAATGAAATAGCAGCAAACTCAATGCAGCAGCTCCATTTTCTCTCACCAGTTCCCTCACGAGTTTCGCTCCGCTCTGGTGACGTCACCACGCAGCCTTGTTAGGTCTTCACAGGACAGTCCTACCGAGGACCCGCCCTACCCTGGCTGCAGCCTCGGCTTTGGAACGCAGCTAATAACCCCCCTTACTACCCTAATGTAGTCTATGTGCTTTAGTTTGGCACTGGAGCCATGAGACTAACTAAAAGCTAACAAATAAATAACAACAATCGTATGAAAGCACATACCCCATCAATCAGCATCGAACAAACTGCATCACACACTTACCTCAAATTCCACTGACTTAAATAATCTCTAATATGCTCGGTTATGTTGTTTCTGACACTGCATGACACATAGTTACCTATAAACATGGACAAAAGCATGTTGCACAACTAAAAGCCAGTAGCAGAAGAAACCTTGGAGCCTGAATTTAGTCTGTGTTCAGAATCATACAGTGTCAGAAATCACATAAGCATGCCTAGAAGATTATCTTTCAATGTAAGTGCGAGTTAGCAGTTAGCACAATGCTACCTTTTCGAGTATAAGCTTTGATTACCTGTTGCTAGCATCAGGGCAAAACTAATGAAACAAACTTCGGACTGAAAAATGTCTCTGATGGAGTGGATTTCTAGGACAGGGGGTTTATGTGAACTTGTCACCAATCTACAGTATTTTGGTAAGCAGGTTATGAAACTTCACAATCCATCAGAAAAGGAAACATTTCAACAGTAGTCCAATGGTCAGGTGGTTTAATATAGGCCTGCGGTACATTAAGGGGGTAACAATTTCAATACAGTATCAAAAAAACTGTATATTTAAATTTTGTGTGGTGAACCTGAATCTTTTCAGGTTTTTGTGTTGTTTAGAGCTCAGTTGCACTATTTTACAAAATCAGTATTTAGCATAAAGACATGCTACTGCACAATATTTTGTTTTAAAATAAGTTGCATTTTCTTGGCTCTGTAGAAATAAACATTGTGAAGTCAATCATAAACTATATCATTACACCCTTACTGTACATACAGTTGTGTGCAAAAATGTGGGCTTCCCTGGTCAATTTACATGTTTTATTGATTTTCTAAGTGAAAATAAGTGAACACATCCTCTACAGAGAACACAGTTCTGCATATTTTAATGCACAATTACTGTTTATGTACTGAATTTAAATAAAACCTAAAATGTGGCCTATGCAAAAGTTACAGCACATTATGTATTTTTTATATTTCAGTTTTTACAAATACGTTAAACTAAGCAAATAAACAGAAATTGTGCACTAAAATGCCATATTTAAGTGTGTTCTTTCTAAAGGATGCGTCAATTTACTTTCACTTAGAAAATCAGCAAAAATTGCATTTGACCTTGGGGTGTTCGAACTTTTGCATACGACTGTCTGCCACTGCCAAAACACCAAAGATGAGTTTGCTGCTGTTCCCATTATCTGACCTGTAGAGGTTAAGACTGAGCGAGTGAAGGGACATCCATGATTCACGGAGGCGCTTGAGGTCTCGCTGAATGTGAACTTTGCCTTCCTCAGAGGTTTTGGCCAGCACAGCCTGACCCTGTCCCTCGGTCCGGTGCAACTGCAGCTCCTTCTCAGGGAACTCCCCCAGCGCCCTCTACAGGATTCAGAGACAAGCAAGACAGTAAAGCACAATTTCCCCTAAACACACTGTTATCTGAAAGAAGACAGAAGCACAGACAAACACATACAGACAAAAATACAGAAAATTAAGGCTTCAGCATGGCTGCTACTCAGCGTGTGAAATGCCCACTGGTATTCGGGGGGTCCTATTTTGGCTACAGTTGCACTCAAAATTATTCAACCCCCTCGAAGTGCAGGGCAGTCTGAGGATATAAAAACAATTCATGAAAATTTATCAAACAAGGTTTAATAAGCAGTCAAAAGAGGTTCATTACGACTCGTTCAAGTGATTTTGAGAACATAAATTTGAGTTTACTCCAAACAGTTCAAATGAAAATATCATTCTCTCTACAAATGTCCGTGTGCAAAATTATTAAACCCCCAAAGTCGGTATTTTGCCGCCTCCCTTGCACTTTATAACCTCCAATAAACGTTTCCGGTATGTCCTCACAAGCTGCCAACATCTCTCTATTGAAAGATTTGCCCATTCCTCATAAGCAAAACCTTCCAGCTCATTAATGTTCCCTGGTTTCCGTGCCACCACAGCTTTCTTTAAATCCCACTTAAGATCTTCAATAGAATTTAAGACCAGAGACAGAGATGGCCATTCAAGGACACTCTACACCGATCCCTGAAAAGAGCTTTGGTTGACTTGGACGTATGCTTGGGATCACTGCTAAAGAAGTCCATTGATCACAAAGCTTTAATGTACACACTGAAGACAAGACATTCTTCTCCAAAATGGCTGGTATTTTAACAAATCCATGAAGCCAATCAAACGGTAAAGACTGCCAGTTCCTGCAGCAGCAAAAAGGACCCTCAAAAGGACTGACCCACCTCCATCTCTATGCTTGATTGTGAAGATGGTGTTCCTTTTACCAGACATGCCACGGTTCCAGGAGTCCAAACAGTTCTAATTTAGTTTCATCACTCCATAGAAATGTCTCCCAGAACCCCACAGGCCTGTCCAAATTCCTTATTGCATGTTCAAGTTGACTTTTATGTGTTTTTTTGTCAAGACTGTTGTGAGGCGAGGTGTCCAGGCATGAGGTTACTGCTCATGTAGTGTTCTTATCATGTTCACTGATACTTTTGCTCCTGTCTTCATCAGGTTATACTGCAAGTCTTTGGTCTTTCTCTTCTGTTCTGTTCAAGTGTCCAATTCCTTTGGTGAAATTTTGCTCTTTATTCCACGTCCAGGTAGGTCTGCTGCTGTACTATGAGTTTTAAACTTGCGTATGATACCCCCAACTGTGTCTCTCTGAACTGAGATATCTTTCTGTAGCCTTCGCCTTTTTGGAGCAATGAAATAATTTCTTCTCTTAGCTTTTGTGAGAGCTCCTTCTTCTTTGCCATGCTGTCTGCTGAAGGAATTTATAGCTCTGTAATGTGTTTAGTGCTGTGTTACACATTATTATATGCAGTATTGCGTGTGCATGTGCTGAAGTTGTGTTTAGGCTGCCTATTTTTGTTTTTCTTTACATGGTCATGTCTGTCACACCTGTCATTTGTCATGTGTACGTCAAGTCAAGTCAAGTCAAATTTATTTGTATAGCGCTTTTTACAACTGATGTTGTCACAAAGCAGCTTCACAGAAATCCATTAAGACAAAGTTTTAACATGAAATGTAAATCCTCCAGGTGAGCTGGGGAAGAAACCTTGGGAGGAACCAAGGCTCACAAGGGGGACCCATCCTCTGGTCAAACTACCTATAAAATTATTATACTACTAATATTAATAGTAGTACTAGTAGTAGTAGTAATCTAATCTTGGCATCAGTCCAGCTATAAAACTGTATCAGTCCATCGTTTCACGGGCTGGCTAGGTGTCTGGTACCTGCACGCAAGAAATAAACTTAAATTCTCCAGACATACGGCTACTTCCCTGGTTTAGGACGGGGTCTGGATTCTTCCCTGCTGAGCTCGAATACATGCATGGGTGGGATTTATATATGTATCACAGCTGAAGCAAATTAATTGTCATTAGGGTCTCCAAAGGCTCAACTGTGTTGTAGCACAATTTTGTAGCCTCATAGATTATCAGTGATTTAAAAACCAGCATTATTAAATTGGGGTTGAATAATTATGACATAGCCGTATTAAGAAAATATCCTTTTAATCAGGAAAATGATATCATACATTTTCAATGTCAATTTCAATAGGTCACTCAACTGATACACAGGTAGTTAAAAATTTTTTTCTGGGTCTTCATAAAAGCTTGTGGGGGTTGAATAATTCTGAGTGCAACTGTAGCTGCTAACTCACTTGCTATAGCGGCGCTCACGGTAGCTTTAATGGCAACAAGATGTGTGGTTTAACAATTCTACTTCTGGAAATGCTCTGTTCTAGTTTGATAATGCACTCTTCCACACATCAACTGAGATCCTTCACTTCTCTTTTATCTCCGGTTTAAGAAATGAGGAACAATTCACAATTCGTGGAATACAGTGCAGTTTTCAGAGGTATCCTGGACATAGTTACAGCTGTTAGGCTATAAAGAACCAACAGGGTGAAACGATTTGCTACAGCGCCACCCTGAGGCAGACCACTGCTGCATCTCTAGTTAAGAATACCAAAGACAGAAGCTCACCAACTGTGGGTGAAGCAGCTGAACAATGACCTTTCCCTGAATTTGTATTTACGTGTCTATTTTACCCCAATGAAGAGCATAACGTTCGAAGTTTTAAGGGACGCCTCAGAATTTTAAGACATTCAGGGGGTCTAAGAGGTTAATTAGGACCTCCCCAGGACCCCTTTGCTACTACATACATACATACATACATCATCTAAACCGCTTGTCCTTCTGGGTCGTGGTGGGGTGCTGGAGCCTATCCCAGCTGTCATTGGGCGCTTTGCTACTGTTTTAGCAATACTGTTATATGTATTTATATCTATGTTTATAGATAACAGTGTGCTGTACAGTGTCAGAAACCACATAATCAAGTCTAATGGAGCAACTGAACAACTCCACACGGTTTGAGGTGTGTGACGATTTAGGCATGCAGTTAGCACAGTGCTAACTCGTGTACTTAGGCTTCCATTACTTGTTAGCTACTTTAGCCTCTTAGTTCCCGTGCAAAACTGAAGAAGTAAACTTCACACACAAAACATGTCTTGGCTGACTACACTGAGGGGCTGATACGCAAACTTAATTTCTGGTTGAATCATTTCTTTAGGCTGAGCTCAGAGAGCCTTGATTCTACTGAGAGATGTTTAGGTAGACTCAGAGACACGTAAACAAATAAAAAAGAATCAATGTATAAATATATTTAAACACTTCAGTTAGATATAATGTGAACTGTGTGCAAGTGTGAATGTACATCTGGTGCGTATCAGCATTTCTACCACTGAGGTTTCAAGCGTTCAAAAAAATAAACACGTGTTCCTTTCATTAACTTTATGTTTCATTCAAGGGTCTGATACCATTAATAAAACAGCTATAAAGCAGAAAAACAGGACGATGGGCACTCATGAGCGAAAACAGTTTAAAGTCAACCAATTTAAAGTCAATTTGAATCGTAAAACAAAACACATTTTTCTTCCATACTGTGACATACCAGTGTTGGGAACTGTTTCACTTTCTATTTTTCTCCCACTCTATTCTGTGTGACTCTCTTGGGGGTGGAGAGATTTAGAGAATAAAGCTCTGGGTCCAAAAACTGGTCTTTGGACTGGGTGATGATGGCAGCGATGGACAGAGCGCTATTCGAATAACCCTGCATTTCTGCAAACCCTGGTCTCTTGACTCTCTGACTGTGGCAAGATCAAAGATTCACATCACTAGTGAGTGAAACTCTAAGGGCTCTTGCAACTTGCAAGGCAGGTTTTTTTTTTATTAAAGTCCTTTTAATAATTAATGAGCCACACAAGGTGTATATTTACCAGAGCTAATCCTGCTAAAGTAAACCGGTTTGTAAGTACAGAGCTAATCTGCTTTGCCTGTTCCTGATAGAGCAGTCAAATCAGCAGCACTTCTATGGATTTGTGGTCTCAACTGACTTGATTATTTGCTGTTGTAACTTGTGTAAAGGATTCTGGATAGTTTTGGATATTTTAGACACAAAATATGTTGATTTTGTTGAAGATTTGGGAGTTTGAGTCAGCTCCTCTGAAAACACAATCAGAGCACTTGTGTTTAACCCCTTAAATAACCAGACTTATTATTCAGTAACGACATGGAAAACAACGAAAACTGACCAAGTGATTAAGTTACAGGAGTGAGGAATGGACATCTGGACCCACAGGAAGCTTCTGGACATTTAAGGGGTTAAAACAAATGAGAACAGCCTTAATAAGAACTTACATTTCTTAATTTCTGAAGGATATGAGTGGTATATTTCATGTCTCTACATCTTTATCTACATATCATATATGTAAAGTACTGTATCACAAGTGAAGGTTTACCAAAATACGTCACTAACCAGTGAAGACAGAGAAAGGACGCATTTTGTATGAATTCTCATTATTATCTTGTCAGTAACCTCCAAGTTGAATAAGCAAGCTTATCTTGTGAACTCCATCCTTGTGATTTTTAAGGTGACAAAGACGAAGTCCACTTTTTATGTAGACAAAATTCACTTCTATTTTACTATTACACTAGCCAGGCTAGTGGGTGCTTGACATAAGCTTCCTGTTCACAAAGAGTTGATAAAAAGTTCAACAGAGTCTGAAAAATTAAGAGAGAATACGTTTTCAGAGATGGGCTACATTTATCCCAACTTCCAGTCTGCAAGACTGAAAAGGAACCTTCAAACAGTGTATAACGTAGCAGGTTATGACGTGCACCACGATTCATAAAGACGTGTATATGAATATCAGATAAACCGGGATTTGCTGCCAGACTCACAGCTCCTGAAATCTGCGAGAGAAGGCTCGTTCTATGTGAGTCGGGATTCGGCCCACAGGGATTAAAGTGTAAAAGAATGTGTTTGAGCGAGTGTGTGTACTTGTTTTCGTACACTTTCAGGACAGTGTCCTGATTTTGCAGGAAAAAAAAAAACAGAACAAAAACAGAACAAACCTACAAACACCCACACAATCCTCCTGACTTTGTAAAGTGCTTTTTCACAAAAGCTCAATGTTTCATTTTTAAAAAATAACAAAAAATAACAATAAAAACAACAAAGCCATTTCTTTTTGGTTCCTGATGTAAGACTTGGGTTAGGCTTGTAAATGTTTTTGTTTTATTACACATAGCTACTGACACGTATACACTCACTGAGCTCGCTATTAGGAACACTATACTAATACTGCGTAGGGCCTGCCTATGTGCTCAAAACAGCCTCAGTTCTTTGTGGCATGGATTCCACAAGATGTTGGAAACATTCCATTAAAATTCTGGTCCATGTTGACATCACTGCATCATGCAGTTCCTGCAGATCTTTCAGAAGCACTTTCACGCTGCGAATCCCCCGTTCTACCACATCCCAAAGGTGTTCCACTGGATTCAGATCCAGTGACTGGGAAGGCCGCTGAGGAACACTGAACATTCATGAAACCAGACTGAGATGACTTTTACTCTGTGACACAGAGTATTATTATGCCGGAAGTAGCCATTAGAAGAAGGTAAATTGTGGCCATTAAGGGATGCACACGGTCAGCAACAACACTCAAACAGGCTGTGGCATTCAAACAATGACTGATTGGTATTAATGGACCCAAAGTGTGCAAAGAAAACATTCCCCACATCATTACACCACCACCATCAGCCTGGATTGTCGACACAAGGCAGGTTGGGTCCATGGATTCATGCTATTGCTAACAAATTCTTACCATACTGTCTGTGTGCCTCAGCAGAAATCATGATCCATCAGGTCAGGCTACGTTTTTCCAGTCTTTAACTGTCCTGTTTTGGTGAGCCTGTGCCCACTGCAGTGTTCTTGGCTGACCAAAATGGAACCCAACAGGGTCTGAGTGAGGCCTGCAGTTCTTAGATGTTTGTCTGGTTTCTTTTGTGACCTCCTGGATGAGTCATTGATGAGCTCTTGGTGAAATTTTGGTAGATCGGCCGCTCCTGGGAAAGTTCACCACTGTTGCAAGTTTTCTCCATTTGTGGATAATCACTCTCACTGTGGTTCGCTGGAGTCCCAGAGCCTTAGCAATGGCTTTGTAACCTATGTGCTGCTTTTTGAGACCTTCTAGCTGCTTCTCATTGCCAGACAGGCTCTATTTAAGTGATGTTTAGATTCAACAGGTCTGGCAGTAATCATGCCTGGGTGTGGCTAGTGACACTAAACCCAATTGAATTTGGTTAACTATTTGATTCAGAAGCTAAGGGGGGCAATTACCTTTTCACACGGGGCCAGGAAGGGCTGAACAGCATTTTTCCGTCAATAAATCAAATCATAAAAACAGCATTTTGTGTTGGGTTACCTTTGTCTAATATTAAAAGCACTTTAATTATCTAAAACATTCAAGTGTGACAAATATGCAAAAACGGAAGAAACTGGGAATGGGGCAAATACTTTTTCACAGCATGTATATATGTAAACATGCAATATATTATTATTACATTGATACATATATTGATACATGTCCCATATACATATGTGTGGGACAAAAGTATGAGCCCACGTCCTGACAAGGTATAAAAACAAACGTGCGCCTATGTGTGTTACCTCTGCTTCATGCTGCCGGTTCTCCACGCTCCACTCCCCGTTCGGCCCGCGGAACGACTCCAGCTTCTGCCTCATGATCATCAGCCATTTCTCCACGTTCAGCAGACTCTCATGGAAATTCTCGTGCTCAGAAATGCTCTCCTCACTTTCGTTCACCTTCACCTGATGAACACACACACACACACAATCAACCCCAAAAACAATGCCACATCTGAGAATCAGGCTGTTATAGGATCGAGTTCACTTTGTTCAATAAATAAAGATCTCCTCGGGCCAAAACAGTGCATTAAAACTAAAATAACCACAGTTTGATCAAGGTCTTCAACATCATCATCATCATCATCAAAGCACAGCAGGAGATAAGGAAACCAGGGGGGCAATCTTTGCGGCTTCTACAGATCTTGAGGACTGAGTCAGAATTACTTGAAGCTTGGCATTTTGAAGTGGCTAGTTAGAGGATATAAATTCTACCCATGAAATATTTCACATCTTTATTCATTAAAAAGACAGGAACTTTACTACATCAGGACTTCCAAGAACCTTGAGCAGATCCTCCTTACCCGAACTGCTTTATAGAGCAGTTTCCAGTCTGCGTAGAGGCGCTCAAACTTCGTCCTGTTCGTCGGGCTGGACGACACCAGCGTCTCCAAAACCGTGATGTGAGCCTCACTGTCCTCCAGGTCCCTCTTAATGACCTGAGGATGGATACAATGTTAACCGCTTAAACTTAATGGACAAATCAGCAAGGCCCAATCCCATTTCACCCTTCGCCCCTACCACTTAGCCATTACCTCTCTTTCAGAGGCTCACTCCAAACAGAGTGATATGAGAAAAAAAAGAAAAACCGCCAAGATGGCTGTGCAAGAGACCAAAGAAACCCACAAATGTGAGTATTTTCACCATAAAAAAATATAATAACTATTGTACTATTTTAGTTTAATGTCATTTCAATGTATTTGGATCCTTTTCTTCATAACAAGCATAAAAATTGCTAGTAGTAGCTGATGTCTCGATAGCTATCTAGCTTCTTGTTTGAATTTTCCCATTCCACGTTAAGTGATGCAGCAGTTCTGATGCCCTAGAATGTAACTGCTGCATCACTTAAGGAGGAACGGGAAAATTTGAACAAGAAGCTGTCGGATAGCTGACTTACAGTGTCAGTTAAAGAGAGGAAACAGCCATGAACCCACACCAGCAGGAGCTCACAAACTCACAAATGTGTTTACAGCTTTCAAAACATGAGGTGAAATAGTTTGTTAGTTTATACCAAAAAAAAAAGACTTAACATTATATTGTTTCATGTGATTTTTCAATTAAAAAGTTTCATTAAATAATAAAAAATAAGCTAAAGATAGCATAGAAAGTAGGTCTAAGCTGCAGTGTGTCTGTGGCTGTGGTGGGGAAGAGGTGATATAATTGATCATCCTCATTTTTTAACATGAAAAAAAATTATAATTTTACATGCTGTCCAGGTCTAACCTTAGACAGAGCTAATAGTTAGTAGATAGTTTACATAGTTACTGGATAATATTCCTGAAGATTAATCACCGAGTAATAATCCGTAAAGGTGAAAAAACTCTGAGCTCCAGCTTTTCAACTACTACATGAAAAACCTGGATCACTCAGCCGCCCCCTGCAGTCCAGCATGATGCAACTCTCATCAGTGTCACTTCTGACACGCATCTCTCTATCTGCGCTCAGTAACGCTCAAATCAAAAATGTGTTTACTTGCTCTTGATGCAACACACAACGATCACATCAAGTTACATATGAAAGGACCTCAAGCAGTATATCCCACCTGTTACCTTTGTGCTCAAACAAAGATCGTATCTAAAGAATTTATCAAAGCTGCAACATTTATAAAACACCTTTGACTTTGAGCTGTATTTTTATCCTTTTTTATCCAGCTGTGATGGGATGCTCACCTTTAGCTGGTCAGCCTGGCTCTTCTTGGCAAGAATGTCAGGTTGGAGCCCTTCTGCTGCAAGAAATCTCTCCTTTATGGAGGCCAGTCTCTTCTGAATAGAGTCGTAGGCATCACCAAAGTCCTTCGTCCTTGAGATCAGTCCCTGAGGGGAGGAAAGACAAAAGCTTGATTTGCTGTATGTAAAAATGCTCATTTAAACGCAGTTGACACATTATCATAGACAAACAATAAACAGGAATTGCCATAAAAATCAGGCTTAGTGAGGAAGCACAGAGGTAGCCGCAGTGCTGAAGGCAACAGTTTGGTGAACGTAGTCAGTCATCTAAGATGTTTTGTGTCTGACGTTTGCTTTTGTTAGTTTTGCACTGGATCTATGAGGCTAATTAAGCGTGTCTCATAAGCCTTTCACTGCATTTTATCACTTACATTTGACACAGATAAACAGAGTATTAGCAGCTTGAATTTTGTCCAAAATTTTGTCTTTTCTGTCTATTTTAACTCACTTTTGATCTGAGCATAACTCTGGAGCCCACAACAAAACATGTGTCAGACAGTGACCGTGATGAGAGTTGCATCACGCTTGACTGCAGGGGGCTACTGTACGATCCAGGTTTTCATGCAGTAGTGAAGAACTGGAGCTCAGATTGGTTTTAAGCCTTATACTGCAGGTTTATTATCCAGTTTTTAACAAGTTATTAAAAGGCCCAGAGTCATCTTTAGCAGATAAAAGTATGTCATACAATGTCAGAAACCACAGTTAGCACAATGCTAATCGGTGTACATAAGTTTCCATTGTTGTTAGCTACATGAATCTCGTAGCTCCAATGCAAACGTCAAGCACAAAACGTGTCTTGGCTGACTACATTAGTTAAAGTGTAAATAAACTGTGTAAATCTGACTTTGTTGATGATGATTGGGCACCTGTAGTCGACTCTTCCTCTGCACAAGCTGGCTGTGGAGCAGCTCCCTCTTCCTCATGTCCGCAGTGAGCTCCTCCAGCAGACTGTCTGCTTTGTCCTTCCCAAAAACGGCAGTCAGGAGATCAGCCTTCACCTGCAGCAGGCTCAAACGTTCTTGGAGCTGCACACTGTGCTTTAGGAGCTTCTACAAAGGCAGAAAAGAAGAAATTACAACCAGAAAAATAAAAAGTTGAATATTTTTAACATTGTAATAAATATCTCAGCAAAGTGCTACCAGCAGTGCTGTAATATGTAAAGACTTTTGTCAGTATCGATTTGTAGAAACAACCATAAAGAGGCCGTAGAGAGAAAATGTTGAGCCTTTGAACCATTCACAAGTGCATCTAAGGCCTCTGTACAGCACCAGAATATTCGGTTCTCTCTTCACTCATTCTAGCTTGTATAAGATCTGTGAAAGCGTAAGAGAATGCCCGCGGCTTTCTGGGGGCTTTACCTCAATATTCTGCACGAGCAGAGCGATGTGGGAAAACTCGGTCACTTCTGCTGAAGCCTCCAGAACCTGAGACACAGCCTGACTCCACTGACTAAAGCCATGCAGTGGGTCCTGCAGAACCTGCCTCAGAGCGGTCTCACTCTCCGAGGACAGCCGGGACGAACGGCCTTTCACACTGCGCCACACAAACATACACATCTGCAATCACAACTGTCCACCACAAGTACATATAGACATGTTTTCCTTTCTATGTATACACTATATATTACACATAACTACTTTATACACTCACTGAACACTTTATAAGGAACACTATACTGATACTGGGTACAGCTTCCCTGTGTGCTCAAAACAGCCTAAATTTTTCACAAGATGTTGGAAACATTCCTGTGAGATCTGGTCCACATTGACATGACTGCATCGTGCAATTGCTGCAGATTTTCCAGGTGCACCTTCATGCTGTGAATCTGCCGTTCTACCACATCCCAAAGGTGTTCTATTGGATTCAGATCTGGTGACTGGGAAGGCCAATGAAGAACAAAAGCTTGATTTGCTGTATGTAAAATGCTCATTTAAACGCAGTTGACACATTATCATAGACAAACAATAAACAGGAATTGCCATAAAAATCAGGCTTAGTGAGGAAGCACAGAGGTAGCCGCAGTGCTGAAGGCAACAGTTTGGTGAATGTAGTCAGTCATCTAAGATGTTTTGTGTCTGATGTTTGCTTTTTTAGTTTTGCACTGGATCTATGAGGGCTAATTAAGCATGTCTCATAAGCCTTTCATTGCATTTTATCACTTACATTTGACACAGATAAACTATATTAAAGATATAGATATCTTTATCTAGATAAACAGTATTAGCAGCTTGAATTTTGTCCAAAATTGTGTCTTTTCTGTCTATTTTAACTCACTTTTGATCTGAGCATAACTCTGGAGCCCACAACAAAACATGTGTCAGACAGTGACAGTGATGAGAGTTGCATCACGCTTGACTGCAGGGGGCTACTGTACGATCCAGGTTTTCATGCAGTAGTGAAGAACTGGAGCTCAGACTGGTTTTAAGCCTTATACTGCAGGTTTATTATCCAGTTATTAAAAGGCCCAGAGTCATCTTTAACAGATAAAAGTATGTCATACAATGTCAGAAACCACAGTTAGCACAATGCTAATTGGTGTACAAAAGTTTCCATTGTTGCTAGCTACATGAATCTCGTAGCTCCAAGGCAAACGTCAAGCACAAAACAAAAAAGAACAAAAAAGCCGTTCTACCACATCCCAAAGGTGTTCTATTGGATTCAGATCTGGTGACTGGGAAGGCCAATGAAGAACAATGAACTCAGTGTGATGTTCATGAAACCAGTTTGAGATGACCTGCTTTGTGACATGGCGTATTATCACGCAGGAAGTAGCCATTAAAAGATGGTAAATTGTGACCATGAAGTGATGCACATGGTCAGCAACAATACTCAAATCAGCTGTGGCATTGAAGTATTGATTGGTATTAATGGACCCGAAGAATGCCAAGAAAACCTTCCCCATACCATTACACCACCTCCACCAGCCTGGACTGTTGACACAAGGCAGACTGGGTTCATGGATTCATGCCACTGGTGTCAAATTCTAAAACTACCATCCGTGTGTCTCAGCAGAAATTGAGATCCATTAAAACAGGCTACATTTTTCCAGTTTCCTAACTGTCCAGTTTCTGATGAGCCTGTGCCCACAGCAGCCTCAGCTTTGTTTTTTGGCTGACAGAAGTGGAAGCTGACTTGTTTTTCTGCATCACCTCAATAGTACTGAGTAGTTATTTGAGTTACCGGAGCCTTTCTCAGCTCTAACCAGTCAAGCCATTCTCTGCTGACCTCTCTCATCATCTGCAGAACTGCCCCTCACTGGATGTTTTTTCTTTATTGCACTTTTCTGAGTGAACGATAAAGATGGTGTGTGTGAAAAGCCACAGGAGATCAGCAGTTACAGAAATACTCAAACCTGCTTGTCGGATACCGACAATCATACCACAGTAAAAATCAGGGAGATCACATTTTTCCTCATTCTGATAGTTGATATGAATGTTACCTGAAGCTGCTGGACCATATCTGCACAATTTTAAGCACTGCACTGTTGCCACCAGGCTGATAAGATAACTGCATGAATGAGTAGGTGTGCAGATGTTCCTAATAAAGTGCTCAGTAAGTGCATGTCCAAATGTTTGCATACATCTGCTTACTCTGAGATTAACAATATTAAAGGAATCAAATTTAAATAATTTTCTATTACCTTAGTCAATCAGCCAAGACATATTTGGTGTCCGAATTTAGCTTGAGGCCAATGTAGCTAACAAACACTTGAAGTGAACAGTCACCTAAATCTTTTCTATAAATACATCTTCAAAACTTCATTAAGGTCATGCAGACTTGTTGTTGTGGTTTAGAGCACAGTATGACTTACTGTGAGCGATAAAAACGAACAAAACGTCACCATGTAGCTGAATGCAGCAGTCAGCCACTTTAGGACAACAGGGGTGTTGTCTAAATACTGTCCACATACTTGCATGTGAGGTCGGATTCTGCAAGGGAAGGCAGAATTTGAAACAGCATTTGCTGTCTAATGTGGCTTCCCACTGTGTTCAGTTTCACTGGGAAGTTTTCTTTTTTTATTGTTCACAGTAAATCATAATGTGTCCTAAACCACTTCAACAAGTCTGCACAACCTTAATGAAGGCCTGGACGTGGTTTGAGAGATGTTTGGGGATGTATGCATTAGCTTTGTAGCTCCAGTGATGAACTAAAGAAGCATTTGTCTTGGCCTGGCTGGTTGCCCTCGTCTGTGGTGAGTGGAAAATTGTGCTAATTTGATTTTTGGGCATGGTGACCTTAGGCCAGAGGTGGAGAACTGCACAGTTTGACGATTTTCCTGCTCAGACACATGTGATTCAACTCATCAGCTAATTACCAGGTTCTGAAGTTCTGAACAATATTAAACCATGTGCAGCCTTTCAAAGGCTCCAAGATAGAAAGCTTTTTTAAAATATAGTCGTATGCAATCACATTTCTTTGATTTTCTAAAGTGAAAATTAAGTTAACACGTCCTCTACAGCCCTGTATGTCAAACATAAGTCACAATCCTATCCAGTCTGTGAAATAATTTTGACTTTCTATAAATATGAGCCTGTTTCATAATGCGCTGCACTACAATCCCCTAGCATGCACTGCAATGTAGCGTGCACTCCCACCTCCTCCTCAAACAACTAAATCTATGGGACAGCGGTTACACCATAATTCTACACAAATCCACGTCATATCACAAAACACAGCATGCTGCAGTTCAATTCAGTATGAACACTTAACTCAGCAGCTCAGAAACTGATCCCAAGAATGAATGAATGCTGACGTTTTTACCATTTTTGAATAAACATTGGACAGTTTGGGTTACAGTAAAATGTTATTTCAAATTGAAATTAAAACATAGGCGTTCTCTGGCCCACAGACTTGTTGAGATTTTTTAATATGGCCCTTTCTGTGGTTGAGTTTGACACCCCTGCTCTTTTTTGCTCAATTTAACATGTTGGGTAAAAATTTAATATAGAACATAAAATGTTGCTTATGCAAAAGTTTGACATATTTTATATTTTGTTAATATGTTAAACTCTTCAAATAAACAGAGATTGTATGATAAAACCTTCAGAAATGTCACATTTAAGTGTGTCCTCTAAAAGATTATGCATTAACTTATTTTCACCTAGAAAATCAACAAAACGTGTAAACGGCCCAAACTTTTGCAAATGACTACAAATATTCAATGTGTAAATTTATGTCCAAAACAAAAGTTTTCATTTTGTACTTTAGTGAACTTCAGAGCAGGAAAATGTAGAGATGTACATTTCCACAATCATTATATCATTGCAGAAGCTTTATATTATTCTAATTACTATGTGAATCTCATTAGAAGTAAATTAGTGTCTGTCCTCCATTACGCATTTCAGCTAATCAGTTGTGCTGTGATGAGGGACGCGGGGGCCTAAAAAGCCCTATTGGGTTGAAGGCTAGTAGTTCTGACTGAAGTTACTCCATATGAACTATTTCATAGTTTTAATTAATGTCAAATTTGGAAAATAGTAATAAAACTGTTCTCTGAGTGGGTGTGTCCAAACTTTTGACGGCTATATTGTTTATTTCCCACTCTCTGACACAAGCGGAGAAATCCTATCAGAAGAAGAAATTCAGAACATTTAGTCAGTGCCACCGTTTTTTTTTTTCTTTTGACTGAAATAATAAACAGAATGCAGACTCAATCCTGCCAATACAGAAAGAAAATCTGCATATATAAATGAAAGAAAATGTAAGTCATAACTAATTATGCAACTAACTAAATGTGTAACTAATTATGCGTAATTAAATATGTAATTAATTACATTTAAACAGTTTAGTCAACAGCAGTACAACAAGACAGCTAAGGGTTAACATGCTGAACACGACAGTGACCGTAAAAGAATGCATAACCTGTTCATGCACGGCCCTGCTGAATATTTGTGGCTGCCTGTTTATGTTGAATGACCCGTGTATCACACATGAATTATGCAAGCAGGTTATTAAATTACTTGTTTGTCTCCGGTGTGTTAGCCACCCTCTGGGTGTCTGCTCTCTGCTCACCTTTGATACTCCTTAACTGCAGCCAGAACATCATCAGACAGCTCTCTGTGGTCCTGAGGGAACCTGAATAACTCCTTCAGCTGGGTTTTGAGCTGCTCTACCCTCGGCTCCTCTGCCAAAAGTACGTTCCGCACGCCCTGCAGCACAGACAGAGAGCTAATCAACCCTGCAGGACACATGCTGATCACGGGCTCCACCAAACAGCTTCCAAACCAGCATTAATGACTAATTCCTCTCCATGGGGCAAAGAAAAGCTGCTTTCACTGATCTAAAAAGGATTTCAACCTTGTCAGAAGTTTTCCACCGTGGACAGCTATAAGCTTAACCACCTTACTATTTCAGCACAGCTTATAGTATGTTACTTCAGTGTTTTCCCAAGTCTCCACTACCCTGCATACTTACTTACTGGTGCATTCAAACAAAAGAATGAAAAAAAAGTCATATGGGTAAAAATATCACTTAATTTACTTATTATGGGCAGATTTTATGATGCATTTGGCAACAATAATTGAGATAATACACACCAAACTTTCTTAATCATGCTATACTTTGGCCTAAATGAGCTTGTGATCTTTGTGTCTTGTGATATTCTAAAGAGTCCGAATGGCAGCACTCACATTTGTTCAAATGCACTGCACTAACAGAGCAACCCAAGACTCATGAGGAGTTCAAAGGGTCCATTTGCATTTTATTTTAGTGGTTTTGTGTGGTTTTATGTAAAACAGTCATAATTAATTTTTACATGACCATTTTCCACCCCTCTTTATCCCTTAGAATTAAACAAGCTGTTTTCTTACAGTGCCTTTAAAGGCTGCCGTATGTAAGTGAACTCATATTGTGCCTCATTCAAAAAGCAGTTCAGACTGAAGCACTCCTTATAACTTCAGCGTGAATGGGAAGAGGTAGATATATGTAATGTATGTGTAATATATGTAATGTAAATGTGTAGCGTTATGCCATCACAGATACAATAAAATCAAAATAGCTCCCATATATAGACTAAGGCCCAATCCCATGTCTTATTTTTACTCCTACCCCTTGTTTTTGAGTGTCACCTTGCCCCTTGGAACTGAGTTACAAGGGGTAGTGGTTGAAATCTTCCCTACAAAATGGGACCCTTGAATAAAAAGAGCATTACTTCATTAACAGCTACTAGCGCTGCTCTGTAGGTGACCCTGCCAGTCTGCAGTGACAGCAGAGGAGGGTAAAGTTCAGCTCCTCACTGCTGGGCTTTAGTTACATTTAGGGCATCATATGCCTTTAAAGAGGTGGGGCAATTATTTATTATCAGCCACCCCTAATTCTTCAGTGATGTGAAGCCAAAGTCAGCTATTCGGTAGACTTTTGTTTGAACTTTCCCGTTCCACCTTAAATGCTGCACCATTTAAGGTGGAACGGGAAATTTAGCTAGCTACCGAGACATCAGCATACTACTAGCGATTTTTTGTTTGTTATGGAAAAAAGGACCATAATACACTGAAACAACATTAAACTAAGATAAAACAGTGGCTATCGTAATTTTTTTAACAGAGAAAATACTTGGAGGGTCATGTAGCTCTAACACTTCGCCCTACCCCTCTATCTCAACAACAATCAGGACACCCTACCCCTAGACATGAATGTGCAAAACGGAGGGGTACAATGTAAGAACACTACATTGTAAAACTTTTAAAAGGCCCATATCTTATATTGTTCATGTATCTTTTGCTTCTTCTGAAGTCCACTTAAAACATTAGCGTGGCTTCACATACCAAAAACAGTCATAGTTCATTTTTACACAACCCTTTTACAACCTCTCTTTAGAATTAAACAGCCTGTTTTGTTACTGTGCCTTTAAGACTGATATATGTACATGAGCTCTGTTCTGACTGGCTGTCCCTGTATTGTGCTTCATTCAAAAAGCACCCAGGCTGAAACACTTAAGGGATAAACAATACAGGTTTGAAAATGGTCCTGTAGAAATGAGTATCAACATTTGGTATGTACCTTTTGATACACAAAACCACAAAAAATGTTTTATGTGGACCTAAGAGGATAATGAAGTAGTAAAAAGCAAAATGTAGGATACAGGCCCTTTAATAATATAGAATATAAATAAAAATAAATAAAAAATATAAATATTAAATTGTCGTCTTCATCAAGTTTTCACTGCACATTATAATCCACTCTATGCTAAACTGCTCTTTGGCTACGTTCACATTACCAGGTTGAAGTGGCACAAATCAGATTTTTTTGCCCTAATGTGACTCAGACCTGATGTTTTCAGAGCTGTGTGGACACAAATCTGATCTTTTCAAATCCCACCTGAGCCACTTTCATATGTGGTCCTAGATCGGATACGTATTCAATTTGTGGCCATGCAACCTTAATGTGACGCTCAGATTGGAATTCATGTGCTTTTTTCCACTGCGTGTGCGCCATTATTCAGCGTTACCATGGCAGCAGCGCCGAACATAAGTTAAAGCCTGTAAACGGTGGAAAAGCAGCTCATCTCACCTTTTTCTCCTTCGTCTCGCTCTAATAATGAAGCTGAGAGCTGATCAGAGTTAATTATCTTCTCAGCGAAGCTCGTTCTGCTCGTTAGTTTGTTTGCTGATGATGCACGTGATTCATTCACGTGACGTTACTGAGCAGGATGAGCTCATGAGGGTCATTTCAGGACGCCGGTTCGTTCACATTAATGACAGATTTGAGTCACTTACCTAAACAAGTGTGAACTATTGTGTCAGAGAGATCGGATTTGAGCAATGAGGCTTGTAATCTGAACGTAGCTTTTGCACGGAGTTCACTACTGAACTCTTAAAGCGTACATCTTTAAATGTTATTTATTGATTATTTGCGTAGTGTGTATTACAGACACTGACCTTAACAAATAAGCTACATTTGTTCTGTGGTGCAAAAACCCAAACCGCTAGAGAAATTCCTTTCACTGGGTTGTGAATATTTGTCACTCCCCACTGCGGAATGTACCTGAGGCGGTCTGGACTACATAATTACGGCCACAGAACTATGCAGGCATTCCCGTGTGTCCTACTTGACAACTGAAATGGTTTTAGGGCGGGGTGAAAGCGAAAGGAATGGAGCACTAACTGTGTATTTCCTCCACTGAGTCACCATGTGCTCCTCCGTCCTCTCTCCATCTTTACTCTCCAGCTCGCGGCTCATTTTCTGCACCAGCGCCCGCAGCTGCCCGATACCAGCAACCAGCTCCTCTCTGCGGGCCAGGTACTGACTGTGGGAGTCTAGCAAGCTCTGCAGTTCCTCCTGGATGTCCACCAGGGCCTGACGGAGTCTCTGCCAGGCCAGCCGCAGCTCCTCCACCTCCTCTGTGATGGTCTCCGCTCCAGCCGGAGACGTGTTGACCTTCACAGCCTCAGCCAAACCTTCAATGTACCGTAACGTCTCTTCCTCATGAGCTATACTGGCGTCCAGCTCCTGGAAGGAGAAGGGAGTTTTAGGTTGTCTAAGGCAGGGGTCGCAACCCAAATGTTAAGAAGAGTCATTTTGTCCTTCCAACAAAAGTCAAACCTAGAGATGAAACGATATTGAAATTTCATATCACGATTATCATGACCAAAATTATCACGATTATCGGTATTATCGCGATATTGTTCAAATGTGTTGAAAAGTAAAATGAATAAAAAAATAAATACTGATACACAAACTGAAACTCGTTTCACCAACTTTTATATTAACACAAATAGAATTGGCAGCAATATACACTTTTTGTTTGCATAAACATTAAAAAATAAGATGAGTACATTTTTTAGTATTACTTTTGTATTACTTACAATACTTGTAATACTCTGTAAACAAAAGAATGGCAAATGTATTATTATTACTGTTATTTTTATTATTATTACTGTTAATATTCTTATTCTTATTATTATTACTGTTGTAATTATTATTATTATTATTATTAATAATAATAATAATAATAATAATAATAATAATAATTACAATAACTAGGGATTTCCCTGCATAGAGAATTAAATCTCGACCAACTCTGAGGTGGGTCATAATGGAAAATTACTACTTCTAAGAAGTGCTGCACTCGGGGGATTTCTGTCCGAACTGCAACTGCAGCATTATTGTGCCGTTGTGGCGCTGAACCCCTAATCAACACAGTGCACCAGGAAAAACAGCCAAAATCACAGAGGAACTGCGTGACCGCGCTGTGAGCTGCAGACAGTGTAGAACTCACACAGTGTGAGTTCACCTGTTGAGCTGCTTCTCTAAAAGCATTTTAAAACTAAAACATAACTTAAAATGAACATGCGTCTGAGCTGCAGCAGAAACACTCCTAAAGTTTAATCTCTGAAACTCTGCTTTTCCTAAAAGCAGCACGCAGCGTTTGCTCGCGAGGTCCCGTCTCAAAGCACACTATCTTCCCTATGTAGTGCACTTCGCACAAATCCTTCACCCAAAGAGTGCAGGAAATGTTCGACTAAGTCATCTTTAATCAACATTAACAACAGGTTACAAATTCCCTATTTAAAACTCAACTGCTTGTTAATGATGATCATGTTTGTCTGAACAGTAGCGCACTACTGAGTGATTTGAGACGGTGTTATTCTCCTCTCAGATAGTAAACACTGCACGCGAGACGAGAAAGGGGAGCTGTGCAGATTGAACTTTTGCAGCTTCTCGTTCCAGAGCTTGTGTGACTATCAGAGCTCATTTTGGAGACTCCGCTCCACAGAAATGTGTGTTACAAGCTTTAGTTTCGATTCACAGCTGATTCACCGATTGTTTTTTGTTTTTTTTTTCTTTTTTTTGACGCTAAAAGCTTCATTTAACATTATTAACGAACCATAAGCAAAAGTTAAACCACACAGACCATGACATTTCTTCTATTTCGAAGTCTCCACAGACTTCTCCGTTAAAGTTAACCTTGCATTCTTGCAGGTAGCGGGTGGTGGTCGCGAAGATGACTCGTAAGGTTTTGATGTGTTGCCCCCTTTCGCCGCTATTTTATTTCGGCCTGTTCTGCAGACAGGGTGGTCATCTTCAATGAACTTTCCTTCTGCATCCTTATAAAACCCAAAATATGACCAAGCGTCAGACTTGGCCTTCTTAGAAGGCTGAAATATCTCCGAATCTCCGAGTTAACCGTCATTAATTTTACCGCGGTTTACCGTGAAACCGGTAACCGTATCATCTCTAGTCAAACCACCTTGGGAGCCACAACATTTTATGTCCATTTTAGCATCTTGGCTGTAAATATGTCTTAATATGTGCTACTATCACAGGCTAAAAACTATAATAAAAATTAAAACGCAGACTCACTTTGCTCTGCTTTAATCTTTAGCTCAGCTATAGCCACTTTTCTCGCATCTCCAGCAGGAAACTTTTCCACAAAACTAGAACAGTTTCTTGTAAAATGTCTCTCAACGTTTGACTTTTTACGGGGCTGGAGTTGCTTCTCATTCACTAGCTTCAATTTTCCCGTTCAACCTTAAATGGTACCTGAGGCATCAGAATGTAACTGCTGCACCATTTAAGGTGGAATGGGAAAATTTGAACAAGAAGCTGGAGAACGAGAATCTGACTTCAGCCTCGTGACTTTTCAGTGTTTGACAGTTTCACGTTGCAGATTAAACATATCAGTAAACCAGCTGAAGTGCATTCGTCTCAAAATTTTCGATGTTCGTCTTTAATCTTTCTCTTTTCTTTAGATTCTTGCTAGGCGAGATTGTTGCTTGCATTGCTATGGTGACCAGCAGTCTGTGCGCCAACCTTCAAGGTTAAAGGTTCATGAATGAGCTGTTATAGGCTACATTAACTCCGGAGTTTAAGACCATAAATCTAAAGGCCGTGATTTCTACTCCATTGGCTCCAGATTGCTTTAATCAATTATAACTCATTAATCGTATGTAAAAGTTTGGGCACCCCTGAGCAAATGACATGTTTTGCTGAGTGAAAATAAGTTAACATGTCCTCTACAGAGAACATACTTAAATATGACATTTTTCGGCAAATTTCAGTGCCCAATCTCTATTTATTTGCTGAACACTGGACAAAAAAACAAATCAAATATAAAACATGCCAAAAGTTTTGCACAGGTCACATGTTTTTTCCACAGTTTTAACAAACAGAACAACGGCATTAGAACTCAGGTGATTTACAGAGAACAGCATAAACAAGGTCAAACTCTAAAGAGATGAGTCTGGCCAAATTCCCCAGTTCAGTTCCTTCCTCTCATAACTACAGATTGCTTTTAAAGTAGATAGTAAATAAATCATAGTAGATTCTGATTAATACGCCTCATTATTAATATAAACTGAATAATAAGATCACAGATTAAGGGGTTAATATCATCAGCCCAATAGACCAAAAGTCAGACACAAAAACATTAGAGACAGTGACTGACAGCGTGTTGTGACCTCAAATCAGATTTCAAGCTTCAAAGAAAAAGCTGATTATAGTGAATAAAACATGGGATAATGTCACAGCCAGTGTCAGTCACTTTCTATGGTAGAGTATAAATAGATTTCCCATAAGATCAGCGCAGTCCATCTCCCTGCTCTAATAAGTGGGTTAGTGTACCTGCAGGGCCTCCAGTCTATTCTCAGAAGTGTCCTCCAGCTCTGTGAAGCGACTCACTTCTTCTGTTTTCAACACCAGCCACTTCTGGAATTCATGAACATGATTTTGGAATTGCTGGTCCTCTTCTGCCACTTTCTGGACCAGAGCCAGCCTCTCCTGCAAATAAAACAAACATGTCGCAATAACTCAACAGAGAAAACACCACACCATCACAAAAAGACAACAACTATTCTTTAGTCTAATACGTGGATCGTTCTACCTAACGGGTTCGACGTCAGAGCTGAAAACACATTTCAGACTTGGACTAAAAACGTGTCCCAATACCTTAATTATGTTTATTTTCATTAAAACAAATGATTTAATACTTCATTTTGTCACTAACAAAAAAAAAGACACTACTAAAACTTTACCAAATATTTGACAGTTTCAGCTAATTTTGAGCACAACTCAAAAACACGAGCTAGTACATCACTAGCAAACACAATTTTAAACAGTTGTACACACATAAAATCATATTTTTCATTAAAATATAAGGAGATTTATTCAATTAAAGAAAATATTTGTTTAGGTAGTGACAATTCTTAATATTCCACACTGATTTTCAGACTTTGGGACACAGTGGGATCTAACTGCCCACCATGTGGCCATGAGAGACAGGGATGCAGTCTCACTCCCTGCTCTAAAATGCAGGGGCGTGGCCAAAATAAGGCTCCACCTATGGACTAAAAGTCTTTGTGTTCCAGCATGCGACATGAAAACATGAGACAGCGTTTTTTTTTATTTAAAAATTAAATTAATATATACGTTAATACATTTGATACATATAACTCTCCCAACTTAAGAAATCAAAAAGACTTTTTAAAAATTTTCACAAATGTAAAAGCCAAACTATTTTTGGCTAAAATGATCCATACAGACCTGAAAGATATATCATTTTTATATCAAAATCACAAGAGCTAATGTTTTAATTATATCCCACATTATTCAATGTTGTGTAACAAGTTTTAAGAGGGCAGATTTCACTTAATAACACAGAGCTTGTGAACTGGCAGTCTCTGTCAGTTTCAAAGCCTCAAGCCTGAAAAATCAATGTGCAGTTTTCTGGGGGAAAAACAGGCCAGGAGTTTTAGTTACAGAAACTAACTGCATTTAAATTGCATTATTGGTCACAATAAATATCACAAATAGTTTTCGAAAACAATCAACCCTACTGATGTATTAATAATTAGATATTAAATAAATATTAACTATTAATTAAATATTAAAAATGTTAATTTTCATATTTACTAAAACCCAACAGAAGTAACATTTGTAACATTACTGGGAGCAGTGAGGACTAAACTGTAAGTCAACTGTCATCCCTTGCTTTAGTTTTCAGACAACGCTTTTCAGAAAAACATGTTCAAACAGGAGTACATGACTGTAAAAAGAGAGTTGGAGGACAGGACCACCTGCTTTCCCTGTTATATAGCTATGAATTTGCATACTTGGAAAATTATATATATATAATTATATAAAGATATATATACACACACCAATCAGGCATAACATTATGACCACCTCCTTGTTTCTACACTCATTGTACATTTTATCAGCTCCACTTACTATATAGGTGCACTTTGTAGTTCTACAGTTACAGACTGTAGTCCATCTGTTTCTCTGCATACTTTGTTAGCCCCCTTTTACCCTGTTCTTCAGTGGTCAGGACCCCCATGGACCCTCACAGAGCAGGTACTATTTGGGTGGTGGATCATTCTCAGCACTGCAGTAACACTGACATGGTGGTGGTGTGTTAGTGTGTGTTGCGCTGGTCTGAGTGGATCAGACACAGCAGTGCTGCTGGAGTTTTCAAACACCTCAGTGTCACTGCTGGACTGAGAATAGTCCACCAACCGAAAATATCCAGCCAACAGCATCCTGTGACCACTGATGAAGGACTAGAGGATGACCAACACAAACTGTGCACACATATATATATATATATATATATATATATATATATATATATATATATATATATATTTATACACACTCACACACAAATACATGAAAATAACTGAAAAAGCCAAAAAGCCAAACTGCAGATCCAAAGTTGTTTGCAGGTATGTAAACTGAAAGTAGCTGCAATTTATTAAACTTTGTAACTGTTATGACTACATAATTTAAATGATACATAATTAAATCATTTAAATAGTAGCACAAAACAACTGTAACAACTCTGTTCAACTGTAACTTAACAGTAATAACTCTAAGGCTTAAACTCTCACTGCGTGAACTTCTGTGCTACCTCTGCTTTGGTGCGGATGTTGTTGTAGGCGTCTTGCAGTGCGTCCTGGGCGTTTTCGTCCACACTGGTGTCCTGTGTGCGGTTGTGAAGAGCCGCAGCCTCGTCCACCAGCCTCTCCAGGAGCTGAGCCTGGGCCTTCACATCACTGCAAAGGACACGGTGATGGTCCAGCTGCCACAGCTTCTCGCGCAGACCCAGCTGCAGTTCCAGCTGTGGCTCCAGTGTCCTCTGCATCTTCACCAGCCACATGTTAAACTCCTCATGGGCCTTCAGATACTCACTCCAGTGCAGCCACACCCACTCTATACGGCTACGGTACATAAACAAAACGCAATTAGCAAATAACAATACCATACTTGAGGTGGAGAGTTAGAGTGAATAACTTCATGGCTGTGGTCTCAGTAGATCATCCAACCATGTCGGTATTCATGATAATATTCAGTCTTGAACATTGTAATGATTTTGTAGTTTTGCAGCCACAGTTTTGAAAAAAGATTAATGCAATGAAGCCCCAAACATTATTTCAAATTTCTTCCGCCCAAAAAGTAGTTCTAGCAGCTGCATATCTTTTATTTATTTTTTTTATTTTTCTTCACTAGATACTGTAGCTGGTTAGACTAAAGACTTAAGCTTATGCTGTTAATAGCAAAAACGTGCTGTGTGCAAGATGAAACAAAGTAAAGCCTCACACAGCATGAGCGCTGCACACAGAGTATTGTATTTAGCTAGAACCAGCTTAGGCTACATTCACACAGCAGGTAAAAGTGGCCCAAATCTGATATTCTCACCAAATGCGTTTCTTTTGTTTGGCTGTTCACACTATCTTTTAAATGTGACCTGTATGCGACATCAGTCTGAACAGATCAGCTCCTAAACTGACCCACATGTGCAAAAGAACAATGCTTTATATGGCTCATCCAGAGGTAAACAATCATGACTGCCAACGAACAGGGCGCGGTCACTTCTTTGGTTCGTGTCCTCGGATTCTTTAAACTTTGCTTTCAGACTTTTAACTGTTCTTTGACGCTGCAGCCTCATTCTCCTACGCCTGTGTTCGGACATTTCTTTCGAAATCTCTTCAAACACGGAGGTGTTTGGATAAGGCTTGGATAATTTTTGTACAGAAACATCAGCCCAAATGTTTATGAGTCTCAGCAGCGCAAAATTATGACAAATGTCGAGTTGGATTGGCATAAAAGTTGCATGAATTCCAATCTGGCTGTTCAGACTGAGTCGCATTGCTGCATATAAGATACGTATCGGATTTCAGTACCACATATAAAGGCATCTCAAATCGGAATTAAAAATGTCAGATTCAGTTTGTTTTTGCTGTTCACACTGACACACATCTGTAACACTTATGAAAAGAGAGATCAGGTTTGGGACACTTTCACCTGCTGTGTGAACAAAGCCTTAGATAGTTAATTAAATCTGCCTTTGTGGATTTATTCATGAAACTGTGAAAGGTACAACATGTCAGAATTAAGAAATTAATGGAATTAACTAATGGATCCATTGAGAATGGAGAATTAACTGCCTGCCATTGCGTTTCACCCACAACTTCACTCATGTTTAGCAGGTACGGCACTGCTATCAAAATCAGAGTATAATTCTACTGTTAAATTTAAGTTTACTTGATTTAACTGAACACTAAAATGTTTATTAAACACTATGTATTTATACAACATCAACAACAAAATAAAGAAAATAATAATACTGTATTTGTGGTGACAGAAGAATTATTTTTATTATTTTCTTATAACATTGACTAAGATGCACTTAAATGAGTATATGTTTAGTTTAAACATATTTATTTAAAATTTAAATAAAAAAATTAAATATAAAAAAAATAAATTTATTTAAAATTTATTTAAAATTTAAAAATGAGACATTTTTTTCTCTGAAATTTTTCCCAATCGCTCCCTCTGTTTGGAGAAGACCATCTGGCTAGTGGCTCCCACGTAATTTGAGTTTGAAACCCCTGGCTTAGAGTAGAGAAACAACTGTTGTTGCTTAGGAACCAGTGGTCGGTGGAATGATACAGGTATGGTGAAATATCAGATATATCAACAGCTTTTGAATCAGATTATGTTAAAAAACTGGTTTATAAATACTCAGACAGACTGAATAACAGGTCTGTGTTTGTGCTCCTATTACAGAAATGGTGCACTGTATAGTATCGGCCATGTTGTAGCGTTGGGCAAATTCTAAACGATCAACAACACTCTCAGAAATAAAGGTACTAAACTGTCACTGGGGCAGTGCCTGTCTTGTCACTGGGGTGGGACCCTCAAGGGTACATCTCAGTACCTTTAGTCAGGGAACGTAACTGTACCAAAATCCACTGAAATGATATGTTCTAAGCTGTACTGACTCCACACACCCCGTCTCGTCTCCAGGCTTTTATTTTACTGTTCTGTTTTAAAACATTCGGTTATGAAAAGGTACAAATACGAACTTTTCACCTGGAAAAACTTATTTAAGGTTCACAATCAGACCTTAAAACCACTGTTGTACCTTTGAGGGAACATTTACATTGTTTGTACCTTGATGAACGAAAAATGTACCTGAACAGAACCTTTATTTCTAACAGTGAATAAATGTTTTGCTCGTTCTGGTCATTCCTGAGTCAGTACACTATATAGCAAACACTGTGTGCTAAACACTGAATGAGTTAAAGGGCCAATATCCTACATTTTTCACTGAGTTTCATTTTTTTAAACTTTTCCATTTTCCATCCATTATCCAAGCTGTTTTTATTACCGTGCCTTTAAGATCGACAGAACTGTGTCAAAGTTTAAAGCACCTGAAAAAATATATATATTTAAAAAACTGTTTATTTGGTCATAAAGTACATATATGCTCAAAATTACAATACTTATACTAAATACAGATCATGTTAATACAATAAATAGTGATTTTATATATCACTGTTGTCGGAACAAAACCTTGTATCTCCACAATGATAACTTTACACAAAAAAGGGAAAAACCTACTGTACTTTTAATGTAAGTCAATGGAACCAGACTTTTTCCAAGTCATTTTGGGCCAATTATTTCGGTCCATTCCTCATGAAATTTACACAAAATGTAAAGGACAACAGGCATTTTCAAATTATGTCAAAAACTGAAAAATGCCAAAAATGGAGATATGAGGTTTTCTTCCAACAGCAGCGATATGTTCATGTATTTAACAACTTGCAAACATCTCCTCATAGAAACACAGTAGTATTTGTAGATATGCTTCAATATCTGTTTTTTTTAAATCTGTTGCTTTTTTAAATGGATATATATAACTGCACTGTTGTGAATACAGAACTTGTTTTTTGTGACCATAATGAACACAAAACTTGCGGCTTAGTTTCCATATATGGATTAGGGAGTGAACTGTACTCGTCAAAGCTTTAGTTTACATTCTACAGAAAAAATTCACTTTTGCATGATATGACTCCTTTAACGGTTGAAGCACTCTGAAAACAGCACAGTATTTTTAAAACTTTTGCACATCACTTCTTATTTTAGCTACAGGCTGCAGCCACATGTTTTGTCAGGAACTGTGTGGTTAAACAGTGTCAATGGGTCTTGCAGATATTACTATAAACACTCTCTCTAATAGCTCAGCTGACCGTGCTGCATACGGAAACTGAGAAAAGAGAAATAAAGTATATTTTATGTTCAGATGCTGATGTTATGACATTAATTGAAGGTAAATGACACCCTATTTTTAGTTTGGTTACAGCTGCAACAGAAAGGTTACAGTCATATTTTGCTCACAAGTGCTAAATTACATTATTAATGTGGTATTAAAATAAGCCTGAGAAAACCAGCTTAATAAATATAAACTTCTTTTACATCGTCTCATATTTGAGGTGGTTTCTTCCCACCTGAGATTCAGCCTTGAAAATTTAACCAAAGTTGTTTTAAACACCAAAAACACAACAAAAGCTGAACTGTTCGCTTTCGATGACACCAATCGATTAGAGTTTTATTACATACATAAAAACGACTTCTGATTAAAAAAAAACATACAGACAACTACCAGGTTTTACTTGTTGTTAAGTGCACTAAAATGCTCGAGTTTGGTTTTGCCTTCAAATGTCAAGGTTGATTTTTTTTCCTGAAAAGATTTCACCATGTTCGATACGGACAGGATTTTTATCTCTTCTTTAATAGACATGTGACTTAAACATCTCTGAAAATATTGTGACTGTAAATAGTTAAGATGTAAACAGAGTCATTCAGAGTGTTTTGGTGTGAAATGCTTCGTTCTAGAGAAACTTGCCGAGTCAGAACTGTTCACAGTGGTGGTGATAGGAACCAGACGTCCACCTCTAAAACCTCCCTCACAGAAAGGGACGTCAGAGACATTGTTTTGCAACAGTTTTGAGCAACAGTTTTGGCCTAAAACCTATTTTTAAACCCATTCTTGGTAGCGAATAGTGACAAAATAGTGCCCTTTTCATATTTTACGGTATGTTACCATCATCACTACATACGATGTGATGATAGGAACCAGACGTCCACCTCTAAAAGCTCCCTCACAGTAAGTTATTATATGAAACGGTTGCGAATACACAGCCTGATGTCCAGGCATTGTTTTGTGACAGTTTTGAGAAGATTTTAGTCTAACATGTATTCCATTCATGGCAGAGTGATACACACAGGGTGTTGTGAGACAGATTTATCACTATTTCATCACCATCAACATTACATATAAAACTCAGAAGACTCGTGTAGGTTCACCGGTGGTTTTGGATAGTAAATAAAATGTCTATATCTGTGTTGTAGTCATGGCGACCCCTAGTTCCTATCACCACCACTGTAAAGAAATCTGAACCATTTCACACCAAACCACTCTGAATGACTCTGATCACATCTCAACAATGAAATAATGCATGAACTCTGAAAGATTAGTGGAATTCCCCTTTGAAATCAGCTGGAGTTGAACCCAGCAGATGTACCTGTGGCAGTGGATGATGTAGGTTGAAGTCTCCTCCCACAGAGCCTTCAGGTCTTTCAGTTTGGAGTGAGTTTGGTTCTTCATTTCCTCATCTCCGCTATTCAGGAGTGTATCTGCAGCCGCCAGCACCAAGTCCATCTTCAGCCGACCATCCTGCTCCGACTCGCGGATTTTCTACACAACAAAACAGCACAACCACGTTCATTTAATGCAGACAAAGACAGGCATATTTTTGTTGGTTCATTTACTGAATATATATTCAAATAAAATGTATACCTTATTCCCCTTACAGCAAATGTAGCTGATCAGACGTGCTTGAAAAGTACTCTTCTTTATTTTTATACAGGAGCTACACGGCTAATGTAGCTAACAATTAACAAAAGCTTCTACTCCAACAATTAGCATGGTAGAAAATGCCTGATTTACCAACATATCTGCATAAATAGATGGTTAAAATGGAAAACAAGGTCACTCAGAGTGGTTTGGTGTGAAATGATCCGCTCTGGAGAAACTATAGGCAGAACTGTTCACAGTGGTGGTGATAGGAACCAGACGTCCACCTCTAATTCTCCCTCACAGAAAGTTATTACATTAAAATCATTACGAACACGCTGCCTGATGCCTGAGACATTGTTTTATGATAGGTTTGAGAAGTTTTCGGCCTAAAATTTTGTAATGTATTCATGATGGAGGGATACATGCAGGGTGATATGAGGCAAAACAGTATACAAAGAAAATTTGTGGTGTTGGATAAAATGAATAAAATGGCTAAATCTGTGTTGTAGACATCACAATCCCTGGTTTCCATCACCATCACTGTATAGAAATCTCTGTCTGTTATTAGACATCAAAACACTCTGAATGACATCTCAATTATTGATTATTTTTTGAAAAATCACTGAAATTCCCTTTTAAATAATCTCTAATAGGTTTGATTCTGTGGTACCTGACACTGCATGACACACTGTTATCTATAAACATCAACAAAAGCACAGACAATTCAATATGGGCTTCAATATGGCTGCTACTGCCTTTAGCTTTTACTGTTTATGTGATGTATTTTTGTCCACTTTTTAGGCAACATTATGTCAGTGTACGAAGGGACAATGTTAGAAACCACATAAGAAAGTCCACTTGACATTAAAGTCAGTATGATTTGGAAATAATAACTCATTCTTCTTCCACACTGTGATGCATTTGTGAGTGAAACACAGTATCTGGACCAAAAAAAACTGTTGATGGAAGAACATTTTAGTCGTTTAAATTACTTGAAAAGACCAATCTTGCTTTATATGAGCAGAGGCATGAAGTAACAATGTAGAAACTGTCCAATTTGATTTCAGGTGGACTTTAACTTGAAGATTTAAGGTAAGAATGTGACGACTTAGACATTCAGATTGCTTGATGTTAAACTGGTGGCTGTAAGTTTCCATTACTTGTTAGCTACATGAGCTTCTTAGCTCCAGTGCACAACTATAGAAGCAAACTTCGGACACCAAACGTGTCCTGGCTGACCGGCTACATTTGGAGTGAGGGTGAAAACTGTGTATATTTGATCTATGGCACAACCATCGCTGTAAAAAGCCCATTTTCCTACATGCAAAAAAAATAAAACTTCCCCTTTTCCCATTTATAATGCTTGTGTTTGTTCCAAAAACAGTCATAATTAATTGTTACCATTTTCTGTTTATCAATGCTTATAATTTCAAATGAAACAGGGTGTTTTTGTTACTACTTAAAATTCTTCTACTGACATATAAAGCTTTGAATGGCCTTTCTCCTCAGTACCTCAGTGACCTTATTTCCTATTATCAACCGACACGCCCACTTAGATCACAAGGTGCTGCTCATTATTAGTACCCAGACTAAATAAAGTTACGTCAGGGGGAGGAGCCTTTTCATACAAAGCCCCCCAGCTTTGGAATAACCTACCAGTCTGTGTTCGGGACTCAGACACAGCCTCCATCTTTAAGTCTAGGCTAAAAACTTACCTGTTTAGTCGAGCCTTTGGTTAATTTGCTTTCCTAACTATGTCCCTCTTATCCCCCCCTATCGACCCCCCCCTCCCCCTATCTTTCCCTGAGCTGAGCGGCTGCCTGTCCTGAGAGGGTCTGACCTGAGATGCGGCCGGCGCTCTGCACAGTGGTGTTAAACTGTATCCACTTATACTGTTTTGTGTCTGTGCTGTTATCCGGTGTCGACCAGAGGAGGATGGGTTCCCCTTTTGAGTCTGGTTCCTCTTAAGGTTTCTTCCTCCTGTTGAGGGAGTTTTCCTTGCCACTGTCGCCAAGCCTTGCTCACTGGGGGCGTGGACCCGGATTCTCTGTAAAGCTGCTTTGTGGCGCTATGTAAATAAATTTGACTTGACTTGACTTACTGTGCCTTTAAGGCCGATATATGTAAATGATCTGTTTTGATTAACTCAAAAAGCAGTTTAACTTTAGCATTAACGGGCGGGGCTAAACTGCTGTTGGCTGATATAACAGGCGGATTTATGTAAATGTGTCGGTTTTCATGACATCAAAAAAACAATTCATTTAAAACAGCGTCTTATTTTCTATATATGGACTGTATGGACAGCTTTGAAACTTGCACAACAATGCTTACATACTACATCAGAAAGCTCAGTTATCCACGAAACCATGGGCAAAAACCATGGGCCCTTGTTCAGACATATGCATTTGATGATTACCAGTCGCTTACACGCACTCCCAGCACTGTGGTGGGCACATGCTACCAATTCCAATGCAGTATATCTATTTTAGGAGTGCAGCAGGGCAAAGGTCAGCTTAGGTCTCACCTCTGTCTCCCTCAGCCTGGCCTCCAGCGCCGCCCTGGGCCCCTGAGTGTTGTCATTGAGCCTGAGCCTCTCCTGGACGGCCTGCATCCACGACAGGGCGTCCTCGCAGCTCTCTCTGAACTCATTCTGCTCTTGCTGGGTCATGGGCTCGAGGAAGACCTGCTATGAAACACGCCCGATCATCAGCGGCTGCTTTGAGTCACAAAAGAGCCAACTGTCCTTTCAAACAGGCTCTTTTATTCTGCTTGGAGAGATCAA